TTAAAGGAGGAGTGGCAGCGATTTTTTTCTGGCAGTCAATAAGTGTGCTTCAAGAATAAAAGCTATTCGCTTGAGCTTTCAGATATTTCAGTGCAAAAAATGCAAATATCTGCTAGCTTGGATGCTGTATGTAGATATTCGTGACAGGATTTTACCAAAAAAAAAACTGAAGATCAAAGTCCTTCGACCCCTATGATTACGACTGGATTACAGGTTGCCTTCTTTCTTGGTGGTTAGTATTCAGTGACATATAATATCCAAATTATACAGACGGAAAGCAAATCGACTATATTGACAGCCAGAAAGCGCGAAATACTCCCAACCTAAATTAGGACGAAGGATAAAATAGGTTTTGAGACTTAACATTTACAAAGTTATGTTCAATCTTTGTTTCGTAGCTGCATCAAGTACGACTACGGGTTTTAGAAAGATACGAATACATATAAAGTTGCCTCCATTCCATTTCTTTCTTGTTCTCAAGGTACGCTCAATTAGCTTTGAACGCGCAATCGTGTGGTAGGTGCTGCGCTGCAAGCAATTGCGCTACACCTAATATATCTTAAAGGTCTCGTGCATGTATGCAAATGGATCTGAATCAATCCTAACCTTTTCACATCCAGGGGTACGTGATTTTTTTTTGCTTATAGAGTAGCTCTTTTTTCAAATCCTTTCAACATATCAACTTTGTCCAAATGCTTAGAAAATGTAAATTGATCATCAAGAGTGCCTTCATATAAAATGAGGTATGCAACATTATATCATGCCACAATCCATCTGTTTGACGTCAGAGTGGGATCAGATTGACCTTGACATTCACGGAGGATGAGACTGGGGCCATATAGAACGAAGGGGGAGTACAAAAGGAAAGGGGCAGGGCGATTTAAAGGTTGTTAAAAAGAAAAAAAGAAGAAAGTGTAGATGCAGCTTTTTCATCTTTCCAAAGAAGAACTGTTTTTTTGACCCGACCTACGAGTGATCTTTAGTCTTTAACATAACTTTGCTAGGATATTCATTTTGGGAACACTTCCTCTACTATCATGGTGCAGTAGAAAACCTAAGTATGAAGGAAACGCAGGTAAAAAAAATAAGAAATGCCGTTAAACTGCCAAGTAGCTTGACGCTAGATGTCGCTGCATTGGCGCGTTGCCCCGTTGTGGACACAACAGCATCCGCGAGTTCTCAAAAAAGACTATAGCATAAATATTTTTCTAGATTTGAAAGTCATAAATATAGC